GTTCCCCAAGGAGATTAACACCAATGCTTCTTTTTTTTTTTTTTTTTTGGGTCCGGTAGTGGGGCCTGAACTCAGGGCCTGGGCGCTTTCCCTCAGCTCTTCAGCTCAAGGCTAGCGCTCTACCACTTGAGTCACAGCGCCACTTCTGGCTTTTTTCGCTTTGCTTATGTGGTGCTGGGGAATCGAATCCAGGGCCTCAGGCATGCAAGGCAAGCGCTCTACCACTGAGCCACCTTCCCAGCCCGACACCAATGCTTCTTGAGTTATATGCAACTTAGAATCGTGCATGGATAGCCTGAAAAAAATCCAAGGTGAAGGTTTAAGTTTATCTCTAGATAATCCATCTCACTTATTTTTTTTCCCTACTTAAAAAAAAAACAATCTCTTGGGAATGGTGCAGAAGCAGGATGGAACACTGCCCTGGCGCTCCCGTGTCTGATGACTGTCCCCTGTTAAGTGAACACATACTATTGCCCGTTTGGAGTTATGAAGCCCCCTCTTCCAACGACTTCTCCTTGTCCTATTGCCCCATCGCGCCTCCAGCAAGCTGCCGGCTTTCCGTGGAACAAATGTGTACCCAACTCTGCGCCATGCCAAACTATATTGCCTCTCTTGGCCACCACAAAATTCATCAGTAGGCATTACCTTCTGCAGAGGGAGTTCAGAAGTCTCTCTTCCATTTATAGCTCAAGAATTCTGTCGTTCCTCACTCGGGGTCCGTGTTCCCCTCACGCCACCTCGCTGGGACCAGCTTGCTGCACTGCTGTCCCCTGGGCTAGTGCCGTGCCAGAAGCTTCTTTCCAGGTGGTCTGCGATCAGGACATTTGCAGGCACACGGGGAGCGCCTGTCACTGGGACACAGGGGCCGCCCGCATCCCCCCCTCACCCAACTCCGGGAGCAGCGTCCAGTCAGAGCTGTGCTGAAGTCGTGGGTAACAGTTGCTGACAACTGCTGTTACTTTAAGATGTTGAGTGCATTTGATAAATGCTAGAAAAAAGTCAGAGTTTTAAAAAACTTTTGTCTGTACATTTATATTGGATGTCTTATTTTATAAATGAAGCTTGCGCCCTAGAAACTGGATTTTATAATTTATAGTTTATCATCTAAAGCACAGAATATAAATGCCTCTTCTGTGCTGTAAAGATAATCTACTGCAGGACAAAACTTTGAACATTAGCTATATTTAGACAAAAAAATTACTATTAAAAAATTAAAAATAGAACTATGCTTTAAAGTTAACAAGGTTCCTTAAAGGAGCCTTTGTGTAAGCTGTGCAGAACCCTTTCTCAAGCCTATTTTAAGATTTTATCTGTCTTGTTTAGCATACCCTAGAACTTTACATAGCCTAATTTAAAAAGAAAATTTTTATCTTGGGCAGCCAGCCTATCTGTATTGGTTGAAATTCCACATCGCCTTTAACAACTATGAAGTTAACAATATGGCTTTGTTAACTAAGATCAAGGAATAACTTTAAATGCTTAACATACTACAGGCATAATAGCACCCAGTCAGCACCACATCAAACAAATTGGTCATTACTGTTTATTATGATTTCAGCACATTGTTTTCAGTTGACTCACAGCAGGAAAATTATTTTCAGACATCTTATTCACTCGCCAGGTGCCTAGAATTCAGAGTCAAATCTTGCAGTCATAGAAAAGAGTCCCTCTTTTCTTGTGCTTAATAAATTATTTGTGCTTTGTAACTCTGCATTTCAGAAATGTAACAGCCAACAGAGCATGATGCAGCAGCTGTCCTCGTAAAGTCTGAAAGCTTGTAAAAGTTGTACTTTGGTGAATAAAACCAAAGAAAAAGAAGGAAGGCTGGAAGGAAGGAACGAGAAGGAAGGAAAGAAAGAATAGAAAGGAAAGAAAAGGTTTTTCTCAGTATAGTAGAATAAAATTATCCTCTCTTAAAATAAATGACAGGAAGAAGCCACTTTTCCTGTCATTGATAAAAGCTAAGAAACACAAAAATCAGCTTTTGAAGTATGTTAACTCACAGTGTTTTAAATAAAAAGCAATAAAAATGCATTCATTATATAGTACCTGTTTTGGATGGTGATTGCAGTTTTATTGTTGGTATTATTATCAAGGCCTAAAAATAATATACTTGGCAGGCAAAATTAAAAATTAGATTTAAAAAAATAAGAGGGTTGGGAGCTGGTGGCTCACGCCTGTAATCCTAGCTACTCAGGAGACTAAGATCTGAGAATCACAGTTTGAAGCCAGCCGGAAAGTCCTTGAGATGCTTATCTCCAATTAACACCAAAAAGCAGAAATAGGAGCTGTGGCTCAAGTGGTAGAGCACCAGTCTTGAGTGAAAGAGCTTCCCTTCAATGCTATGCCTATGCCAAGGGTGAAAGAGTCAGAATACGCTTCATAAACTCTGAGGAGTTTTCACAAGATGCAGGCAGGTCCTGTTTTGATTCCCAAAGCTGGAATAGGTTAACAGCCAGCTAGACTCCACACTGCCAGAGAGTGAAGTTTATGTTTCCAGTCACGCTCTTCCTCAACATCAGCACGTTTGACATCTGAGTGCGGATGCTTCTTTGTTTTGTTTTTTATTTAGGGGGGGAGGTGCGGGGAGATGCCTTGTTCTTTTTAGGTATTTAACAATATCTCTGCCAGTAGTGACCCCTCCCGATTGCTGGCAGCTATGTGTTCCTATAGACACCCACTGAATGCTTCCTGCTAGACAGAATCACCCCAAGTTGAGAGTCACTGGTCTGATTTCAGAGCTAACATTCTTAATGACATTAGTGATGGTATTTATTAGTGTTACCATTATACTGAGAGTTGCTCTTGGTATTGTGTTATAATATCATGCTTTGTGGAGCTACAAAAGCAATAATGAACTGTGCACCAGTGGGTCACACCTGCAATCCTAGCTACTCAGGAGGCTGAGATCTGAGGATCATTGTTCAAAGCCAGCCCAGACAGGAAAGTCCCCTAGACTCTTTAAAAAAAAAACAACAATGTTTTTTTATTGTAAAAATAGTGTACAGAAGGGTTACAGTTACATGAGTAAGGTAATGAGTACATTTCCTATCGAGCATTGTTACCTCCCTTCCTCCCCCCCACCAAGTGTAAAATTCATTTTCAACATAGTGTCTTATACATCTCGTTGCAATGTGTCAACCTGTACCCTATTTAAGCATTTTGTTTTTTTGCTTCCCCTCCCCAAATTAGAAAAGTGTATATACAAGATGTAGGGCACCAAATCAAATACAATGAAAATGGGTTATACCTTGGGGGAAGAACATACAAAAACATCACATAGTACATTATAAGTATGTTAAAAAACAATTACAAGAAAGAACAAATCACTTATGTCCCTGTCTTGGGGTTCATTTCACTTAACATCATCTTATATGGTCATATGTACATAGCTTTTGAGCTTTTCTGTTTGTCCTAGACATAACACTAGTTATTGCAAATAAGAGAAACCATGGGATCTATGTTTCTTTGGGCCTGGCTTCATTTAATATAATTTTTTCCAAGTCTTTCCTACTCCTATCTCCAATGAACCACCAGAAAACCAGAAGTGGAACTATGGCTTAGGGATAGTGCACAGGTCCTGAATTTAAGCCCATAAGCAACCAAAAAACAAACAGAATGAAAAGAGAGATAATACATGAGAACCCGTCGTCTTTTTATTTTTTTAATATAACTGGTGACATTCTCTTCTGATGCAGTGAGCTTCCTGTTGCTGGGAACTCTTTGTGTATATAAGCATGTCACCTGTCATGGGCTCTGTCTACAGCGCGCCTGATGCCAGGCCACAGCAGCTCTGCGCTTGCTCCCACGTGGACTTCTGTGGTCATTTCCTAACAGGACACACACATAGAGCTGTCTTGACCTAGTCTAGTCCCTTCCCATCTGGGCCCGTTGATCCGCTTTTAATACCTGGTAGATAACTGAGGAAAGGAAGGAGACATGGATTTTCATAACTATTTAGCTCATGTGATCATGGCGCTCAGCCCTTGAGGGTTGTGTTGGTTGACTGTGTTTCCCTTTTGCTCTGGCCTTGTCACCTTTCTCCCTTGCCTGCTCCTTCAGCCTGTGCTCCCACTGCAAACCTGGTACAGAAACGCAGCAGGAAGTTGGTGTGGAAACGCAACCATGCTTTCTTCCTTGACAGTAGGAGGAGTGGCGTTCTTCGGAACTGCTCACCACCTAGTCATGGAGTTCCACCCTCCATGCTTTTCGTTCCCTCTCCTCCCCCCAGCACAAGACACTAAATACATGACTCCTTTTACTAGACTTCTGCAGTTCTCTGAGAGTAGACTACCCTTCTCCCTATCCCCCCACCAAAATGGCCAAGTGTGGGTCTGTCTCCCAAGCCTCCTCACTCTCCCGTCATGATGTCTGAAATCAGCACCATTCCCAATTTATAATCACCTCTGAACTAAAACTTCCTGACGTTTATGATTAACTATTTGTTACTCTGTTATTAAAACCATTGGGAAATTAGATGCATTTGAGCTGGGCCTCATGAATAGTTTGAAAGTATTTCCCATATAACTTTCTAGACACTCAGATTTTCTTCAAACAGTAAGATTTTTTTTTTTTAGACGAATTGCTACTGACAGACCTAGTAAACACAATTACATGTGATTGCAGTCGGCGTGTAACGTGAGGAGATGCGGGGGTAATTGCCACCGTGCTGGGGACCTAGAATCGCCCAGGAATTGCAGCTCTCAACTCTGCTTCCTGCAGGGCCACAACAGTTTGAATGCATTGGGATATTGTCATGAACTCACAACAATAGAATTTTAATGTCAATTAAAAACTGTTTTTCTTTTCTTCCTTAAAATACATGTGAATCATCACTCTGGTTCACTTGGAAATAAAAAAAGAATTAGTTCTTGATATAATGTCTGATTTATAGTTACTTCATTTGAGATCAGCATCTCATTTGGGGCAGATTTAACCCAGTTCTGGTTTGCTGTGCATCACGTTACATCAGCAAAGCATGATGGGCTTTTCTTTTCCAGGTGGCCTTTCTGAAGATGTGACGGAGGGCACTCAGGCATTCTTGTTTCCCCAGACTGAGGGAGAACCCCAGAGGCCAGCTGTCTGCTCTGTGGGCATCAGATGCAAAGAAAGAACCAGAGCTGCAGAGTAAGAGCACTGCGTGGAAGAGTTGAGTTTCCTTGTTTGCATGTGTTCTCTAGAGAAGAGCCGACTTTGCTCTGAAAGCCCAGAGCCGGGAGGGAAGGTGTCCACAAGTGAAGAATGGTTGCTGCATCTCTGCTTCCCACCGAGAGGAACATTCAGATGTGTGCTGCGTCAGCACCGCTTGCTCACCGAGACCCATCTGTCTGAGGATGCGGGGAGGAATTGGGCCTGGAACTGTTGTAAATCCTAGGAAATAAACTTTTAAAGAGCTTCTTGAGTTTGTTTAAAGGAATTTTTTTAAAACCTGAAAATATGGAACCTTTTGTACCATACTCAGAGGAGGTGTTCATAAATGCTTGTTGAATGAATGATTATCCAATTAAAGGTCCTCTTGCTTATTCAAACCTGCGTGTGTCCTTGTACCACACACTCTCGCCAATTAGCAAACATGCCTCACTGGCTTCCTGGTGCATACACAGGTTGTCTTCATCCTTGTCTACCAGAGCAGGTGGTGAGGAAGACACTGAATGAGATCGATAGGGCTGAGTGGAATCTCGCAGGGCACGGCCAGCTCCTCATGTTGTGGAGCGGCTTTGGGACTTGGCGTGGGCTCAAAGCTGGGATGGGAGCCGGGCGACCCACCTCCCTACCTTCCATCTCATCCTGGCCCCCTCCTCTCCCGCACCAGTCGCAGCAATGTCTGGATTTGCCATGATCCCTGCTACAATGGAGCCTCTTGGACACCTCTTCCTCTTCCTCAGACACCTGAGTGTCCAGTCCCTTTGTTTCCCAACAGGTGTTCCCACAGGTCCCTTGACTGTGATTGGGCGAACCAGCCTTGATGCTTTCCTTGTAGTTCAACAAGATACTTGTCCCCCAGCAGAGCAGTGGGATGAGGGACGAGAGTGGAAGTAGGTCTCCTGAGCCTCCGCGTAGCAGGCTGGCACTGGAGTGGGACCATCACTTTGATCTCCTAGCATCCCTCTATTAAGTGCAGGTGCATACCTTAGAGTGCTTAGTGAGGTAGCCATGGCTTGTTCTGTTCCTAGACTACCACACACCACGTTGACTTCTCATGCTTTTGATTCCTGTCTGTCCTGGAGGGCAAGAGTTCTAGGCAGCATGACTTACCATATGGCTGGGGAATCCCTGGTCACAGGAGCCATAGGATGCATTGGACGCTTAGCAGTATTGCTGGTGTCTGTCTACCCGCCAGATCACAGCATCCATTCTCCCCTTCCGGCTCTGACGACCCATGCTGCGGGGTGCCTGGACAGGCTCCATCCACTGGAGCTGAGGACCACGGCTGTAGAAGACAAGCTGGAGAAACAGGATGTGCTGATTGATGCTGGTAACCACCTGTTCCTAGAGAACAGATCACTCATGGTCCTGGGCCTATACTGAGGAGATTCAGGTTTGTTTAAATGAATACCTTCTTGATGAATAACTGGTGTGTGTGTGTGACTTCCTTGGAGTTCAGTTTGTATTGATCTGATGGTGGAGACTGGAATAAATCAGGTGCATCAGAGTTCAGCCTGTATATACAAAGGATATTCATCTGTGATAGCGTCTTTCCTGGAGTAGAGAGATGCTGTGACCATGCAAACCTATGTTTATGGCTTAAATAGCAAAGGTGCTTATGATTCAAGAAAACAACTGTTCTCAAAAACAGCTAAGATTAATATTCTGATTTATTCATCTGGGATCTTAGAAGGAACTGAGTCAGCCACCTTTCTAGTGGTTCAGTGTGGGGTACAGAGGTATAATCCCTATGAGAAATGGCTAGGACATCACACAATGTACACACACACACACACACACACACACAACCAGATTTCCTATGCCTGTTTGCAGTTATGTCTGACAAGCAACTTAAAAGCTTATCATCATGAGCCAGGCCCAGGTGCCTCATCCCTGTCATCATAGCTTCTCAGGAGACAGATCTGAGGATCATGGTTCAAAGCCAGCCTGGGCAAGAAAGTCTCTGAGATTCATAACTCCATCCAGTGAACTACCAGAAAACCAGAAGTGGAACTGTGGCTCAAAGTGGTAGAGTGCTAGCCTTGAGCAGAAAAGTTCAAGGCCAGCGCCCAGACTCTTGAGTGCAAGCCCCAGACAAAAACAACCCCGTAAAGCTTACCATGGTAAAGCTTACCATGGTGAAGTGCTCACAGTCACCAGATCCATGGATCTTCCACGGTTGGGAAGGGAGAGCCCAGGCTGCTAAGCTGATGCTCCAGAGGTTCACCCAGTGGTTGGGTGGTGCCTGCACTTGTTACAGCCCTTTGGGACCACAGGCAGCAGGGAGCTTTTGTTTCTATGTTTTTTGTCCAAAGAGAAACCTTCTGTAGGTGGGTGTATGTATGAGAGAGAAAGAGAGAGATGCACCTAGAACATTAAGGGAATTTAAACAGTTAAGCAACACTAGGGGGACCGAAAGGAAAACAGGCTATGCAGTCTTAGTCAGCCAAGGATGTAGGTTTCCATTCATCTCCTGTGTCCTGGGGGTATAATTCCAGATTGACTCAGTAGCATTCCTGGAAAATAGGACCACAGAATTTTCACTTACTGTGAGGAGGTTAGCAAGGATCTGAGACATAGTTAATATACTTAAATAGCTTCCGGTCCTTTTTTTTTTTTTTAAAGTATCTCTAAAAGCAGCCATGATGAGGTGATTCCATGAACCACTTACTGTAAAATTACAGTAGCTAGATCTTGCTGAAAATTCCCACTGGCTGGCCACCAATGTTGATAAAGTTCATTATTGAACAGCTTCACCATCAGCATTATAGTAAGATGGTAAGGCAGAGTTCTTAGACCTCATGTACCTCATGCGCTCAAAAAGCAGACAAAATGAAGTACCATGTTTCATTATAAAATACCTTCTCATACAAAATGTCACGTCAAAACCAGCTTTACAATGTCGGTGTGGGGGGGGGAGGGGGGTATGATTGGGTGGGGGGAGGGGGGAGGCTGGGAAGGGAGGTGAAGGGTAAACAAAGGAGGAGGCTGCAATGCTTGGTAAGAAATGTATGCATTATCCTGCCCATGTAATTGTAACCCCTCTGTACAGTATGTTCTCAAATAAAATTAAATTAAATTAAAAATAAAATAAAATAAAATAAAATACCTTCTCATAAGATCAGAAAGTGATAAATCCAATAAGGACAAAAGCTGAATGAAGGAGGCAGGAGAATAAGATGTGTGCAGGGTGAGCATATACAAGCCTCAGATACTGTGTGGGCAGGATGAGTCCATTCTATCATGAGTGACGCCTGTCATCCCAGCTACTCAGGAGGCTAATAGGTGAGGATCCAGGTTTGAAGCCAGCCCAGGCAGAAACTCTGTGAGACTCCTCTCTCCAACTAACCAGCAGAAAGCTGGGAGTGGAGGCATGGCTTAAATGGTAGAGCACCAGTCCTGAATGAAAAAGCCAAGGGATAACCTGAGGTCCTGAGTTCTAGTCCCAGTACTCACACCACACACACAAAAAGAGTGACTGGAGACACATTATGAAATTCAAATGGGTTTTGTGTACAAACTGCACCTTGCCTGACTTTACCACAAGTAGCTGGATTAAATAAAGAGCCACCAATATTAGCAATAGTTGTGTGAGTGCACTGATTCCAGAAAAAGCATTCGACTAGATTCAGGCCCTGGTGACTTGCCTTTCCACAGCCCTTGGGTAATTAAGCTTGCTTAGTAGCCACTGTAGTAGAAAGCGCTGACAGCGTTCGATAGTTTTGTATGATGAATGAATGCGGCCGCGCTGTCTCTCTGTACATTTGTTTTTGTGCTTAATGTGAAACAAAGATTAATTAGAACCCATGTGCTGCTGGAACGCAAGAAGTATTGATGACTGGTACATCTTGGTCTATAGTTAGAAAAGCTTTTATGTCAGAGGCACAGCTCTCACTAATTGCTCATCTAAAACTTATATACACTGTTAATCAACTTAAACACAAAAGACTACCCCATGTGACATGCTATCACAATTCCTCATCGTACCCTTAAATGCTTCAAGATTCCATCTACTGAATCGATTCATCATCCCTTAATCTGGGGGGAAAAGGAGAGAGAGCCATGGAAGAAGTAAACTGAGAAGTTTTAAGAACTGATGTCAGAGACCATACTACTATTCTTGAAAAAGAAATATGCTTTCATAGTCACTAAGGGAATCAATACCAATGGGTCTTCAGTCCTGCTATGGGAAGTCAAGAAACCCATTTTAAGGGTTTCAAACATCCCCCAGGGCTCCGGGTGTGCAGGTGTGATCAGCAGAGTGCAGGATTTATAGGTTTTATGCCATTGATCTGATCCACCTCCGAGAGCCCTGGCTGTGACCTTGTTTGTGACCTTTGACAGTCTTCCTGGTCAGCACGAGAAGGGCTGCCAGAGGGTGTGTTCTCTTTCTCCAACTTCCTCCCTGATATTCAGCCTCAACAGGATTTTTAAATCCCATTTATTATCATTATTTTTACAGAGTTGGGCAAAAGGCTTATAATTTTTTTCTTTTGTTCTTTTTTCTTTTTTTGTTGTTGTTGTAGGGCTTGAACTCTGGGCCTGGGCACTGTCCCTCAGCTCTTCAGCTCAAGGTGAGCACTCTACCACTTGAGCCACAGCGCCACTTCAGGTCTTCTGAGTGGTTTATTGGAGATCAGAGTCTCACAGACTTTCCTGCCCGGGCTGGCTTTGAACTGTAATCCCCAGATCTCAGCCTCCTGAGTAGCTAGGATTACAGGTGTGAGCCACCGGTACCAGGCTGAGGCAATGTTTCTTGGGCAATTTCACCCTTTCTTTCACTGTCTTCCATTTTTCCCCTCCCATCTCTACCCTCAATTTACATGGTTCTTGATAGTTCTTACATAATTTTTTAACATAGTGTATATTGAATACATTAATTGTAGACATTAATTCATTAATGTAAGAATTCATTCATACATTCATTCATACATTAATTCATGTGTCTCCCCTTCCCCCATCTCCCCCCAAAAAAATAAAAACAAATGAATTAAAGCAAGGCAAAAACAATTTAAAAAATAAGCATGTTTCTATTTCTTGGAATTTGTCTTGATAAACTGCACTTTAGATGTTAAGAGGAGTTATGCCTTTGTATAACCTCCTTTAGTTCATTTGTTTGTAAGTTCATATCACCTTGTATAAGTTACCATGTTTAGTTGCATCTAGCTTCCACATATGAGAGAAAACGTGTTGTTTGTCTCTTTGAACCTGGCTTACCTCACTTAACATTTGTTCTAGGTCCATCCATTATCCCTGCAAATGACATAGTCCTAATTTTCCTTAATAAAATTGCATTGTGTATAGGTCCCACATTTTTTGGTCCCACTCTTCTATTATGGGGCATCTGGGCTATTTCCCTATCTTGGCTATTGTGAATAGTGCA